GGAAGCTGCCTTCCTGCACATTCGGTTGCCGTCAATGGAACCGAACCCGGATTTCAATACTAGATTTCATCCCGTTCATATATTGGACCATAACCACTGTTGGCTTCAAAAGAGGGCGGTCAAGTGGTGAGCACGTGTCCCTCTACTGTAACGTCAAAACACTATTCATTACGATGTTGACGAGGTTGTTCTAGGTAGGCCTTTCTTCCGACTTTCATCAGAAGTTTGTCTGGCTTTCCCTAGTAGGGTCGTCTGACTTCCCTTAAATTAGTGTCCGCCTACTTTCTGGATTTTCTGGTTGGTTGCGCTTGCCTCTTAGTTTATTTTCAGTGAAAATGTACATTGATCATGCCTTGTTTTAAAGCATAGATGTTTCCCGGGAAACCGAACCATTGGGAATCAGGAAACAAGATTATTGACAAATTTTCCAGGATGTCTCGGTTAGGAAGCACCAGTACCAACTCGATATGAAAGTTTTGCTATTTTTGCACGCGAGCACCGTCAATCCAAGACATATCGGGATATATTTGGATTTTCTCGTTGTACTTCATTAAGTTGGGTGACGTCCTAACTAAAAAGCAGTAGTCTTTAGTAGAAGCCTTATAACTTTCGTACTTTTGATACTTATTGGAATTAAATAATCTACTGTGTTACCTGACTTATAACGAATATACGTTGTATACGAGTACCCCGAATACAACGTATAGTTCGTCTAATTTTACTGTACTCGTATACAGCGTTTATTCGTTATAAGTCAGGTAACACAGTAGGGAGCAGTTTGGCAGTTTGAAAATCTATTGTTTAACAGCATGAAAATCGTCTAACCAGCTTTCCACACCCGGTAACTGGAGGTTTGGATATTAACTCGTCCCTTTCCTGTTCCCTTGGAACAGAGGAAGATGAAGCGATTTATTTTGTGACCTACAGTTGATGTCAAAAAGTACAGTGACCGATGAATTTTAAAACCCGTGCAAACCGTCATTACCGAGCGTGGAAAGCTAGATAAACAGCCAATCTTGAATGTACATGAATCATTTCCATTAGGAAAGTCAGATTATTTGAAAACCGCGTTGAAAATTTTACCCTGAAATGACAATATTTGCCTTGCAAAAAATGAAGCCATTTCATTATGCTTGCTTTGTTATAATTGATACTATTGAACATCGAATCGTCAAGTTTTAAATTAAGCAACTTTAGTTCAGTTAATGCATTGAAAAGTCCAGGTGTGGGAGCTGCCTTCCTGGCGTCGGTAGCATTGGTGCTCAGCACGGAAAACAAGATCGACGGAAAACAAATCAAGGAAAAAAAAAAAAAAAAGCTTCGTCAGCAAATCCACATGTCTAAAAACAATTCATAGTTTTACACGCCTTCTTCCTCTTATTCGCATTTCAAGGTTACTGCTTATCGAATATTGCGTGCTCTCAACTTAGTGTTCTAGATGCACTTTCACAATTTTAAATTGAGAGCTTTCGATGCCTGCACCATTTTGCATTAGCATAATTGAGTGACAAGTACAATCAGGAGCATAGATCAGGGAAGTCGAGAAATTTTCTAACCCGTAAATTTTCAAGACCGGACCGGGAATCGAACCCAGCCACCAACCAGCATGGTCTTGCTTTGCATTTCACGTTCGAGCGCCATAAAATCATTTTCAAATTTCAATCACCAATTTCTGTCATAACGATTACCACTATGGTAAATACCAAGATGGCCATGATTGATGAACATTTTCTGCACTTTGACAGCGCTAGCAAAACAAATCTGATTCTAATTTTTGTTGAGTCGATTTCGTGCATAATTTTCAGAAGTGTCCTAAATATGCCCGTAAAGTGTATGGCCAACAAAAAATGAGCTTTCTCGGTAACCAATTGAGCCAGAACGTTCCTGATTTTAGAGCAACGTATCAACTCCGTGCAAAAGGAGTGTAAAAGAAAAATCGTGCACTATTACCAGGAAAAGCCATCGTAGTCTGCGGCTAAAGTGTTGAATTTTCTTATAAACACCGTATGGCGCGTGCTCAAAACGTACAGGGAAACCTTGATGACGAATCGGAAGCCTCAAAGTAAACGCTGGAGTGGAACTGCCAACCGTCAGCTTCATGGAAAGGTCGTGAGGTCCATCAGAAGCGAGCAAGGTATGTAAGTACAGCGAATTCGCTACCGCTTAGGCTTAACGGCATACCGCGCCAGTAGACAACCCAATCAATCATTAAAGCAGAATACCGTAGCTAGAACTCGTGCTCGAAAGCTGTATGACAACCTGCTGACCAAGTCCGGTGGGTGCATACTTATGGATGATTAAACCTATGTAAAGGCCGACTTCGGACAGCTTCCGGAACCAAAATTTTACAAGGCGAAGGCCCGAGGAGGTGATACTGGCAGTAGTAGAAACCTATTATTGTTAATCCTCACAAGGACTTTTTTCCTTAACTTCCAGGCGGATGTAACTTCCGAGATAGAGATGAAAACGAATTCATTTATTAAGGTACAGGAAAATGACCTTGCAATAAATAAATGCAGCTTATATTTCAAATTATGTTCAAATTACAGACTACAATCTCTCGTCAGCATATGAAATTTCCGACCAATCCCTTTGAAAGAGGTCTGTCCTAATGCCAAAAGCACGTATCTTATATAGATTTGGAGCTGCTGAATCGCCATCTGCAAGGAGAAATTCTGTATAATTTGACACCTTTTTCACGCATTTTTTTTTCGCCTCTATTTTTGATCGTGTGATTTCAAAGAAATTGATTGCAACTTGTTTTAAAAAAATCGCATCACAATCGCATCAAAATCATAGAAAAATATGGTGCATGAGGACAATCTCGAAGAAAAAAAAACTTTATTAAAGTGATTTTAAGCTCATCACAAACTCGAAAAAAAAATGAAAATCACTTAAAAACCGAATTGAGTGTATACAGAGATTATTTGTTAATCGAAATTATCAATTAATAATTGGCAAAGTTATTACTAGTATCGATCGCTGAAGGTCACGAGTTTAAATCTCACCCCGAACAATTCACAAATGATCTTAAATGTATTGAAAAAGATTTTTTTTTTTAAATCGAGGAAAATTTTACTTGCGCTTTTGCGAATTCGAGTGAAAACCGACTTTTTGAGTTTTGAGTCGATCTCATCGATCAGCGAGCCAACATTTTCAAAAAGCATCTCTGTGAGTCTTAAGTTTCATCGAAGTATAGATTTTCTAAAAGGCCTAGGGGCTATTCAAATAATGACGTCTGCTGTTGAAGGGGGTAGAGGGTCTTAGAACTTGTGACACTACGTGTAAAAGGTATGGCAAAAAGCGTGACACAGGAGAGTGGAGCGGGGGAGGTGGAAAAAAATATCGAAAAACTACAGATATCACATTTGAATCGCCCCCTACTGCTTACTCAAAAATGCCAGCGACAGTGAATCGAGATAGGGGAAGCCACCATAAATGATAACTAACCTTCGTTTCCCCCCAGCGTAACTTATGATTTGATGGAGACGAAGGGTCGGCTACTTCTTGTACGTTACGCACCGCTGGCAACGATAAATTATACTCTTTGCCGTCGAGGTTGGAATAAGTGCGACACCGAAACAACTGACGTTTGTCAGAAAACAAACAGACCCAGTCTTGATACCGGATCCAGGTTGGCACTGAATCAAAACAAAAATTCGCTATTATCCACGACATAAAACTTGAAGGTAATTTTTTTAAAAAATGCTACTCTCGAAAATACCTCTTTGGCCACGGCATTCCAAAGATCCTTATGCCTACAGTGCTACTGCTCAGGTGACAGCACATCCAACTGGACGCCATGTTTATCAATCCCGATGATCGTTTTCTCTCCGTTTGTTCGATCCTAAAATGATAACAACATTTTTAGTTTTGAAAGTACGAAAATAATGCGACATTATGTGTTTACTCATGTGGTTATCGTATTCATTCTATCAATTTATGCTGATCTAGATTTCTCTTCCCTAGCTCGACTCAACTGTCACACACACACCGTTCTAGACTACTGCGATTTCCCGAAATGATCAACCGATGAACCCATGTCAGCTTCCTCCGTTGTTCCGTTAATCCTTAAACCGTCGTCGTATGCAGACCAGTTTGATTTCTGTATTTTTTTTCGCAGTGCATTACAATCCACACAACTTGTCGCAATGAACCATTGCTTCATCCTTGCTCAGTTTGGAAGATGCTGCAGTGGCACCCCTGGAAGCCGTTGATCTCTTTTTTTTTTAATCATTGCTTGCATCAGCGGAGACGGCGCGATCAAAAGACTAGTCATTATGACATTCGCTGCGGGCTATTGTACGGGAGGGATTGGAAGGAATCGTTGATAGGTAGTAGTAGGCGTTGATTCGTTTTTTTTTATTTGGAAACTAGTAGGCGTGTTTGTGTTGCGAGATTGCCGGGGGGAATTGTTGATCTTAAGATCAAACCTGCGACCCATACTAGAATAGTGATCCCGGACGTGTTTTTCGAACGCTTGCGCGCGCGAGTTGCAATGGATGAACGGCGTGCGCTCGACGAGACAACAACGTAAACAAAAGTGGAGGTGAGATAAACTTGTCTGAAAAACGTTTCAAATGATTACAACGGCCTAGGCAGATTGCTTTGTGCCAGGAACGAACTTTCAACGTAACGGAAAACGACTAGATAACTCGCCAACCTCGCCCCGAAGGTGTTTCTATCGAAAGAGAAGAAGCTCGCATCCTTGTTTGTTCACTGATGTTGTTGTTGTTTTTTTGTAAATCTTGTTGCTTTGCTCTAATTTACCTACTTCTCATATTATTTTCGTCATTATCAACATCGCGATCACATTTTGATCTCTGTACGTTTTGACCTTCTCATCCCACATGTGGTATTTAATTATGTGAATTGAGATTAGGTCAACTCACCGCGGCTGTGGCTGTCTGTCCTGTACTGCCGTTATACGCATAAAAGTCCCACTATGCGTAAGGATTGCATAGAACATGGGACAGTTATGCGTATAACGGCAGTGTAGGTCTTCGTCGTCTGTTCGTCGGTAAGAGGGCAGGGAACGGGGAATTCCGAAGAGAGCAGACCTCGGTGACCTCTACGCTCTGCTTCATTTGTTTTTTAGTTTAAGTTTTCCTCTCTAAGGGGAATCGGGTGTCTTTTGATATTTACTAATTGCTCATAATTTTTTTTGGATTTTTGGTTTTGGTTGAAAGGTGCTTCACCTCTACTAATAGGTCGATTCAAGACTTTGTCACTTTTCTTTCGTTCTTAACTATAAGGCAGAAAAACAGTACTGTAAACATTGTTTTCTTCTACACTATGTACGATTCTTAGCTCAACTCCAACGTTTTGGTTACTTGGTTTTGTTTTGATGGTTTAACTTGCTTGTCAACAGAGAAAAAAAGATGGAAGCTATAGAAAGCAACAAGACGGGAAATTAAACGCAAACACTTTTACGTCAGTTTTCCACAAACGGTTTCTAACAAAAGTGTCAAATGATAAATGCCTCTGCAATCCTATTTTTCGCAATGAAATATTTCATCCAATGCTTTTTCATCAAACCATTGAACAATCAGATTTAATTTTTTAGACAAAATAGAAAAGGCGAACAGTACCCTGAAACTTTCCGAATTACGATTGCAAAGTTCTTCATCTTTCTATTCGAATATATAAAAAAAAAAACAAAAATAGGATGTGAATACATATATCATTTTTCCACTTCACTGGGATAAGTGCCCATGTGTGTGTGTGTGTGTGTATGTGATGGGCGTATGTGTGTATGAGTGAATGTGTGACTTGATGAACGCAATGACTCATAAGTGTGTGAGTTAAATGTGATTGTTTTTTGTTTTAAGTCAACTTCATTTGGTTCCTGTGTTCGTGGAAGGGTGAGTGTGTGGTTTTGTCATAAGTAAACTTTTAAACTCCTTGTTTTACCATAGGTTTTCATTTTTTTTTTCAATCGAACATAATACTCATCTTTTTTCGCGTGTCGATCTATTCTATGTATATATTACCGCTATAAACCATTAAACTTGATTCAGAGGTTTTCTGTACCTCCTTACTGTACAATAGTTCCGACTTGTCCAGCAATCACAGCAAGCTGTGACCTATTTCATTTCCTTTTATTTTTTGATCCATTGGCTTCGATTTCATTCTTTCTCTCTCGCTTTCGCTCGTTCAAAAAAGTACTCTTCTAGTGTTTGCGTTCCCTTGGTTACTTCCAATCCTACATATTGGTTCTAGAGATGGCCTACTTTGCTCCTGCACTTTCGTGCGTCTCCTGGTGCATGGAAAAGCTCTCCTTAGCCCTATTCAAACACGGCTTCAAGGTTGTTACAACTTTGGAACGAAAACAAATAAATAAATGACGAAATGCATGCTGCTCGCACTCTGATTGCGTTGGGGTTTTTTTTTTTTGCTACTAACGACATTCTCCTTTCTCTACCATTCTTTCCACCCTACGTCTGCATTCGCATGGTCGCATTCTACAAACAAGTATATTATTGCTTTCTAAACCACATTAGAAAGAAATCAATGAACCACGCGAGATCTTCCCTCTTCAATCGTATATCAAAGGAATTTATACTGTTGTCGATTTTGTCCAAACCGCGAATTTCTCTGTAAAAAATTAAAGAAAGTAAATTTAAGATTTTCAGAATTTTATTAAAAGATAGGGTAGAGATTTTGTTTTGTTTTGTTAAATTTAGATAGTTGCTTTTTTCTTACAGAAAGGAAATCAAAATAATAAACACAACAACTGATAGTTTGTTTTATAGCTTTTTATTAAAATAGCATGCAGTTTTCATATTCAACCGAAAGGTGTTTGTTTGTTTTTTTTCACTAAACTACAGTACAATATAAGTGAACAATGCTAAGGGATGCTGTCAGCAACTTTGTGTGCTTATCCCTTCATATATATTAAACGTGTTCGGACTGAGTGTTAGCGTTCTATGGTTTACTACAGAAACGAGTTTATCATACAACAAGTCAGGAAAAGTTCTGTACAAATGGCATATGCGTTCGACTATGGTTAGTAGTAAATCCCCGTATCCCTTAGCTGAAATACGAAAGCAGTATGTGCACACACACAAAAACACGCTGGAACCTTCAGGCAAGGGGTGCTGACTGGCTGGTACGACGGTAAAAGGGGGATAAATCTGCCAATCGATACAACAGATAGAAACATCCCATTTGGTTCCGGCTTCAAGAAGCTTCCTTGATTATGAGCTTGAGCAAAAAAGAAAGCAAAATCTTCCCTCTTTGCTCGCCACGAGCGCTTGAGACACTTCACGCGAATGGAACAAGAAGGCCTTGTGCGGAAGAAAAAGGAAATCATCAAAATTAAGCATGTCTCCAGCGTAATCTAGGACAGCCATGCCACCACCATCGCATCGTCGTCTTCGTCGTTGGTTGCCAAAGAGGCGATATTTATCGGTGGCATTAAATCGATCTTCCTATATAGTTTGACTTTTTCCTCTCGAGCGCAGTCGGCGACGTCTTTATGCCTAGAATTTTGTCATTTTAGCATAACAAATAAAAACATAATTACACCACATATCGTATGTGTGTGTGTGTGTGAGGGAGTATAGGTTTATTATATAGAGGTCGTGTATGACACAACACCAAGAGTACACAGCAAGCCATGCTTCTGGGTTGCTTTTGAGCATCAAGTCCCCACCGTGCACATTTATTGCATAACTTGCGAAGAAACGGAAGAAATAATAAGAGAAAACCATCAGCCAGTGGGTGGTAGTGGGCAAGAAAGGGGGGGGGGGGACATAAAAGTGTTAGAAAGTTTCATGAGAGCGGGCAAGGGAATACCGAAATAAAGAGGTTTGCTAATTTTCTTCACGTTTTACTCTGTACAATATACCTATTTTGTAAGGAACGGGGGACAGTTCAAACACAAAATCATGCTCCAGTTTAGACTCACACGGGGAACATTTATGTATTAAGCAGCACAAACAAAGACATACGAAGGTTACTTTCGATTTGGTTTTTTTTTCTTGATAATTTACAGCAACACTCAGAGATGTCGTGCCCAGGGGACCACTTTGACTTATTTACTAATTTATCTCAATTTTTAATTCAAACTAACAGCTGCCTAAAAATGGAAACCTTGTAATGTTTAAGATTGCACAATGTCACAAGCTCACATCAACATGATATAAGTTGAAGATAATACCATGCATCATGCGTCTCCATCAAACATGTTGATTCAACGAGAGCAGCAATCGTTGCTTTGCTTACAGTTCAATTTGTTATATGCGACAGTTGGAAGATACTGAGAGGTTAGCACATATCATCGGCAAGAGACGTGCGTGTGAGAAAATTTGCGAAAAAATCTAAGGGCACCGGTGGGATTCGAACCCACAATTCCCCAGTACACGGGTGCATTGCCAATTGTACAACGGTGGACCTATGGTCTACGGATGTATTTGGCTAATGACATATGAGTTTCGAATCCGTTTACCTCCCTTAGTCTTTTTGCGCAAGCGTTCTCAATACACAACAATCGTCTATTACCGACGATATGTGCTTGTACCGCAACCACTCAGTATCGGTCGATGTGAACAAACACAACTCGTCTCTGTTCTACATCACACATGTTGGATACGGGATGTCCAATGCAGTATGAATAGAGCAATGAGCTGCATTAGTTTTTGACAGAGCGACGGCTCGTTATTCGAAATTCGTGAAGCATAGGCGTCCGATAAAAACCCACTACAGTTAAACCTACTTAGGTACTGTTGGATGTGAATTTGACAATGATTATATCTGTAAGTGCGTAATACCCCGGACGCACTACAGCCTATATCTTGAGAATAAGCTATACGCTATCTTAATATCCAGATCCATACAGCAAGTTTTCACTGGAAATACACCCAACCCTTTTTTACACGGTCTTATTTTCCTTTTTTCCGATGTTCAAATAAAAACAACCTTGATGCAAACCTTAAATGTAACAGTAGGGTGACTCATTTTGTGAAAAGCAGGGTACCTTCCATTCATTTTGACTAAACAAATGTTTTATGAAATTATGGAATAATAAGGTATTATGATGATATTTTAAATGTGTAACAAGAAAAGATTGTAAAGTTTGTGTTTGACAAAAATTTAGCTTTGACAGAGTCACTCTTCGCGAAGAGTGAAAAGCGAAAAGTTGGTGATATAAATGTCAAAATCAAGCAGAATTGACAGTTATTATGTGTCAAACACAAACTTCACAATCTTTTCTTGTTGCTTACATAAACAAAATATTTTCTTTTTTTTTTTTCCTTTGGTTTGGAAGGCAGCTCCCACACCTGGACCCTACCTATCGACCCATCAACTCATGAACCGGGGACCAACGGCTTTACTTCCCATCCGAAGGAAGGCGTGATCAGAGATGTTATGCCTCAGAACATCCCGGCGGCGCCGACTGGGATTGAACCCAGGCCTGCTGGGGTGAGAGGTAATCACGCTTACCACTCCACCACCGGCGCCGTTAAAAAAATTTCATAATATCTTATTATTCCATAATTTTATAAAACATTTGTTAAGCCAAAATGAATCGAAGGCTGGTGAAAAGTAATTGCAACCATTAAGGTCAACCTCCAGTTTGATTCATAACCCCAAAATATAATAAGCCTTTCGAAACAATGGTTATGATTGCTGAAGGTTTGGAGGTCGTGCAAATTGTTTGAAGTTTGTATGGAGATTCTAGCGAATTACTATGGGAGATTTTTTAACTTCTCTTAAATCGCTCTAAGTTTGGTTCTAGTTGTCCAAACGATTAACAAGCTTGTTGTTGTTGTGATAAAATGGGTCATGTTATCTAGCACAAATTCAACTATCAATTAAAACATTTGCAATATTGAAACAATGTTGGAGATATATTCGTGAAATTTAAAATGCTTTCATGACAGTCCTTAAACCTTTGTAATCTTTACCATTTTTTGCACAGAATCATATTTGGGGCTATGAATCAAACAGCGGGGTAACCTTAATGATTGCAAATACTTTTCACAAAATAAAGCACCGTAGTTTACCTAGTGTGTATGGGTCTAGTTCATTTTATTTAATGATACACATTTTCTCGGCCCCAGACTTTAAGTCTCGCGTAACATTTGAAAACGATCTATTAGCTTTTTTAAACAAAACTTGTAATTCCCCTTTCGCGCGAATCGAAGCTCGCCTATGCAAACGAACAACACCATCGGGTAGGGGAAATTCCACGGAGACAACAGTCAAGAACTTCGTCGTAGCTAACATCAATGTGATGAATATAGGGGTTAGGATGACTGCAACAGACTACTCGAGTAACACAAATTCATTGAATTATGTTGAGTAAACTGTTATACAACCAGTCATACAAAGCTAAATATAAACTGTTATAGTACATGTGTGTTGTTTGGGTACTCATTCAGCACTGCGATGCAAGTTTGAAAGAGTAAGCTGTTGTGTTCTGTCATACCTCGGTCAGATTGCCCAAAAAGGTCAAAATGCTGTGAACTACGGTGCATCTATATGTGGCTGACAGGGATACAGTCCACTTGGGAAATTCAGTTGGTTTTCCTACACTGAAAACGAATCGAACTCAGAGAGTGAGACAGTTTTACTCAAGCGCTGAGTGACATACGCTTTCAGAAATTTCTCTATACAAATGAGTAAAAGTGACTCACAACTGAGTAAAAGCTGTCCACGAGACAGTTGCGATCAGCTGACTTTTTTTGTTTACCAAGAACTTTTGACTGATCATAGTAGAACTGGCAATTTATTCTCATATGAATTTCTGCTTTGTTTATGTTTACATTCAGCACAATTAATACCAGATCGCTCACAGACTCTAGATTTCTAGTTGTCAGTTCCACTGAGAAACGTCTCTTGGATCACCTTATTCACATTTTCACATATTGATTAACATTTTTGTTAAAATTCGTGTGTGAAATTATTATAATGGCGTCCATTGAATTTTTCAAAAAATTGAGGCATATGAACGACATTTCTGATCAAAATTAACATCTGTCACAAAGTTGTAGAGACTATTAACAACAATCAATACGAAACTATCGATTTAAAATTGGCTCACTACTTGACTAGCCTATTGGTCCCAAGCAAATCGATTAACGTTCCCCATTCTAGTCAAAATTCTAGTACTACACAATGTTTGTTTTGATTCGCTATGAAAGTTTGACAGATAAAATGAGGGGTTGGTGGAATTTCCTATGTTTCGAGGGGTGAATCGATTAGCTTGGGACTGAAGATAGTACCAGAGCTGAGCCAAAAAGTAGAGCTCGTTTCTTCGGGACCTACTAATCTTAGAGTTACCTCTATGCTATTAATGTCTTTCTCGAAAAAATAAACATTTATTTTTTGTAAGTATAAATAAAAAAAATAAAGCTAAAGCTCAAATTTCTCAAAATGTCCTTGTTCGATTTTTTATTTTATTTTTTTTTTCAAAACAATGCATACTTTTGCAATGCTTAAACCAGGAACATTTGAAAACTGTCAAAAATCGTTATTTTTTTTTTACTTTTTAGCACGCTTTGCTGTGTATTTTTTCACAGTTTTCTAAGCACAAAATATGCATCAAAAACGTTCTAAAAAGATTTCAAAAATTTGACCAAAATATACGA